TGTGCTAGGTGATAAGGGAACACAAAGAAGAGTTTCAAGTTCCTTTTAAAGAGCTTCAAGTCTACTGAAGGCAACAGAAGTGTTGATAGGTATAAAAGAAGGCAGAAAAGAAGTACACTGTATAGGTTTGATTGAAAGTATCATGCGTATGCATCATGACAGCATTAAAATATTTTCTTTTTTATTTTTGTCTACTCTCCAGAGTTTAATGTTCTAGTTAGAAATCATACTATATTGTTTGACTGGAGTCTCTTGGCAAAAATAATTAGCAACTTTATGAACTCCTAGTACCTGCTAAGATAGTGATTGCTATTGGTTGCTAACTTGATACTACCTTCATTGGAATTTGACCAGTTTTACAGTTGACAGATATTTTAAAGTATATTTTTTTGTTGTGGCTCAGAAGAGGTGTCACTGCATGGGTCAGGATTTAGTAAACAGGAAAATAAATGATGATATATAACAGACATGTTCAGCCTCAGAGTTGTCAGCATACTGGGAAGTTTGCTAAGCTTTGGAAAAGAAATTTCTCACTAGACAACTTGGTCTTGTCCTAACTTGTTTAAAAGCCAGGGATACTATATTTTGGTCCTAGTTGTCTCCTAGGAAGGCTCTCAAACTATGACCCTCAAATAGACCTCCCCTTTTCTGAAATTGTTTTTCTGCTGGGCACCTGAGCAGTTGGCATGAAGAGCTAGAGAGTTCATGTAACACTAGGCTACTTTGCTGATGAACACTTTGCCCATGGTGCCAGCTATGAGTGAAATTAATTAGACTTGTGCTATCCTAGTCAATTTCCCTCTCAGCAGGTTGTGTGGTTAGAGCTCCTCAGAGTCTAAGGCGCATCTTCCAGGGCTACTAGCTGCTGGGTTAGAAATTCTTTAAAATTGGAATAAAAGTGATATTATTAAAAAAGAAAAGAAAAACCAAAAAGACTTGGCTACAAAATAACTGAGAAGCAAAAAAGATAGAAAAAATTGACCAAGACCAAAGTAGTATTTTTTTTTCTGGTTTTTCTGGTTTTAATAATGGACCATGGTTCAGTAACAACAATTAAGCCATTAAAATAAAAGTTTTTAAACTTGTCTTTTTTTAGGCTTAGAGAATCCTTAAATTAATTGTTAGATAAATTTGAAGTATTTTTTAAAAACTTCAAATAAACTTAAGTTAGCATTTTATGATCCCTCAGTGTAGAGCTGTACCACACACCTCCAGAGCCAAATTTTATGCTCTTAACTAATGTGTAAAATTCACATCTTCATTGTCAATCTGCCCAAAAGATAGTTTTAAGTGGGAATTTTGAAATTTCATTCTGGCTCCTACTGGCAGTAATGGTAAGTGGGATTTGTAAAACTGCCTAAGGTACATTTACTCATTACTAGACAAACAGTTCTTGAGAATGTGTTTTCCATCAAATGGAAGCATACCTTCATCACAGGTGATCAAGTGTAGCATTTCGTTTCTTGAGTATATCATGGAATCATGAATTGCACAAACCAAGGAGCCCCAAATGCCACTCTGTTGCTTAGTTTGCTAGCTTAAGTGAAATAGCATGTCATGTGTATAAAACTATTAACTCCCATCTGTGATTACATGGGATGCTTTAGTTGTAAATGTCTGTAGGATAGTGTTTAAAACCAGTGGGGACTCCGGTAATACCAATGGTATTACTCTGTGGGGATACAGCTGAATCCTGTTAATCCCCTTTCATGCCTATTACTTAAGTGGCCAGTGAGTGTGTGTTAGTTGAGTGATTTTTGTTGTTGTTCATTTATACCTCTTTCTACAAAGGATTTGAGGCAGTTTCCAGAAGTATGTATCATATAAAAGAATAAACAGTTGAGTGAATAACACTTTGCTATATATATATATATATATATATATATATATATATATATATATATAGCAAAGTGAATAATTATATATAGCAAAGTGAATAACTGAGCACCTGGATGGCTCAGTTGGTTAAGCATCCAACTTTTTTTTTTTAAGATTTTATTTATTTATTCGACAGACAGAGATCACAAGTAGGCAGAGAGGCAGGCAGAGAAAGAGGGGAAACAGGCTCCCTGCTGAGCAGAGAGCCCGATGTGGGGCTCGATCCCAGGACCCTGAGATCATGACCTGAGCCGAAGGCAGAGGCTTAACCCACTGAGTCACCCAGGCGCCCCAAGCATCCAACTCTTGATTTTGACTCAGATCATAATCTCAGGGTTGTGGGATCGAGCCCTGCATCCAGCTCCGCCCTTAGCAGGGAGTCTGCTTATCCCTCTCCTGGTCCTCCCCCTGCTCGCACTCTCTAAAATAAATGAATAAATAAAAGTAGAAAAAAGAAAAGAATAAAGCTATTGTAGAATGAGCATGTGATCCTAGAGTTTCAAGAGATGGCTTACATATACGGCTCATGGCTTCCTAGTAGCCAGGCAAAGGACCACATGATCCGTTTTATCCATATTGTCTATGCACAGCTGAAAACAAACCAGGTGTTCAGGAAAGAAATTTCTCCCTTGGATATTATAAACCGCTGTTTGATGTAATGGAATACGTCCTTCCACTATTCTTACAATACAATATATTTTTTTTAAATAAAGCAGAACAGTAGGAAAAATGGCATATACTCAAGAGGCTATCATCCTAAACTAACAGACATATAGGTATTTCCATATTTGCTTCAGATCATCCTCATTTTCTTTGAAAAAGAAACAGGAGAGAGCAACTTTGGATGTCTTATATCCTTATCCTGGCCTCATTCTTCTCCCTGGCTCTCCCATTGTGGATCTGATTCATAGCTTGTCAGTGTGTTTTGTTACTTTTATTGAATGCATATATTATATCTGTAAATAATATATAAATCTTAAATTTGCATAAGTAACGTACTGCACATGACATTACAAAATTTGCTTTTTTTCACTAGCATTGTGTTTGATCTCATCTCCATGGTGCTGCTGATCTAGTTCATTAATTTTAAATCCTGAAATATAGTTTTCCATTATAATGGAAATAACCCAATTTAGTTTTCTGTTTCCCTCCTAATGGATTTTTGGTTTGTTTCTAGTTTTTCACTGTAACAAGCGGTGCCACACTGAGCAGCCTTCTCAGTGTCTTCTTTTGCCCACGTGCTGGGTTTCTCTAGGAAAGTGGTTCTTAAAATGTGGTGCCGGGGCCTGAACATCAAGATCACTTGGGAAGTTGTTAGAAGTGCAAATTTGTGGACCTAGCTCAAATCTCTGAATCAGAAATTTGGGGGATGGTGGCCAGCAGGTGATTCAGATGCACACTGATGTTTGAGAAACCCCTACACTAGTGCATGGACAGTAAAAGCGGAATTACCAAGTCTTGGGGTGTGTGTGGACACACTGCGTACAGGAAGTTCCTGCCCAAAATACACATCCTAGTTTACAGTCTCGCCAGCAGTGTCGGAGAGTCCCATGTCCCCACACATGGTGTGGTTGATTTTTTTTTCTTGCTGGTCTGAGAGGTGTAAGACTTTAAGAGCTGTTTTATTTCCTTTTGTGTGAACAATATTTTTACAGGGTAGTTGGCCTTTTTCTTATGCATTTTGTAGAAAACTTACATATCAATTCATAAATTATCCCTTCGTCGTGCATTGCAAGCTCTTTTTTTTTCCCCCAGATTATTTTTTGGCTTTGTTTATGGTACTTAAAAAAATTGTAACCAGATTTACCAATGTTTTGAATGGCTTTGTGTTTAGAAAGGCCTTGGAGGGGAGAAGTTGGACTTGGATTTGATATACTGCTGGGACCCCTCTTGAGATGTACAGCAGTTATTTAAAAGTGGCCTGAGGCTTATGAGACAGGTCACAGAGAGATTTGGGAATCATTTGTATAAGAGCAAAACTCTGACACTGGGGGTGGATAAAATGAGAGAATGTAGATCGAGAAAATGATGGAAAATTAAACCATGGAAGCAACACTGGAGAAAGAGACTCCAGTAAGAGAGACGGAGGAATGATCAGAAAACAGAGCAAGGAGAAATCTGGAAAATTGGGTAGTGATAGAGTATGTAAGCAAGGAGATCTCTAATGCCGTAGAGAAAGGAACACATCTAAGAAAGGGGGGAATGCTGCCCTTCAGGAGATCAGCCAGCACTGAGCTGAAGAATGGAAGACTGCTCTTAAGAAGTTTGCACTGCAGTGTAGGAGATGAGACAGTAGTTAGAGAGGTAACAAGGTCATTTCCTTTTAGGAGTGGACTGTTTGTACCCTCAGAGAAAGGAGCCAGTGGCAGAGTTGTATGTGGTGCTCACTGTGCTGTCTCCTCTTTGACAGCCTTTTCATGGATGTGCTTTATCTGCCCTTTGAAGAGATTCATTTGGTAAGAAAATATTAGGAATTGGGGGCGCCTGGGTGGCTCAGTCGTTAAGCACCTGCCTTCGGCTTGGGTCGTGATCCTTAGGGTCCTGGGATCGAGCCCCACATCAGGCTCCCTGCTCAGAGGGAAGGTTGCTTCTCCCTATCTCATTCCCCCTGCTTGTGTTCCCTCTCACGCTGTCTCTCTCTGTCAAATAAATAAATAAAATCTTGAAGAAAGGGACGCCTGGGTGGCTCAGTTGGTTAAGCAGCTGCCTTCGGCTCAGGTCATGATCCCAGCGTCCTGGGATCGAGTCCCACATCGGACTCCTTGCTCATCGGGGAGCCTGCTTCTCCCTCTGCCTCTGCCTGCCATTCTGTCTGCCTGTGCTTGCTCTCTCTCCCTCTCTCTCTCTGACAAATAAATAAATAAAATCTTAAAAAAAAAAAAATCTTGAAGAAAAAAAAAAGGAATTGAGCAGAGGATGGAAACAGGGTGATAGAATTGTGAGCAGGAGGCTGCTTCCGATTAGGTGGTCTTCTCAAGATTAACACTGAACGCTAGAGCCATTTGAGTGATATGGTAGAGCATTCCAGGCAGGAGACACAGTTTCCAATCTGCAAGGTCAAACGGAAATAGGATAGTATACCATTAATCTAATAAAATCCTCATGCTTCTTGGGTCAATCAGGGTGAAGAGAGAACAGAAATCTTTGTGCCCTGACTTTGGAGATCTTGTTTAACCTTCAAACTGGCGATGTCAAGGGTTCCAAGTCCTCCACCTCCGGCAGAAATGTCGAGTGGCCCTGTAGCTGAGAGCTGGTGCTACACACAGGTAAGTTCATGTTATCACCCTGTAAATCATGTATCTTGGGAGGATTTGGGTGAATGAAGGGAATAAGATTTCTTTTCTTCATTAGGTTTCCTGCTTTCTCTAGGACATAACTGTCAAAGAGCGGATAGATAAAGTACTTGTCAGCTTTCCATTCCTTGGTTTTCCACATGACATCTGAATGTACTAGGCCAGTGGTTTTTCACTGGAGGTTGAAAGCAGGGGGAGTCTTTGAAACGAGATCCACTCACAGCCACCTTGATGGAAATAGGTTCCTCTTTGGGCAGCTCACAGGAAACCAGGTTTGAGGTTTGCAGCCCCAAGCAGTGTCATCGGCAACTGTCAGACGCCGCTCTGAGCAGAGGCTTGTTTTAGGTACAGCTTTATTATCTGCTTGCCCACCCTGTCCATGCTTTTCTCACTTTCCACCCAGTGTTTCTCAGAAGTGGAGAAATGTTATGAAAGCAGTTGGTCACTGTGAGATTTCTTAAAATGTGGGTGAGGGACAGAAAAAGCTGAGCCACCGTGCTGGCCAGACAGAGCTATCTTCCTATGGGACTCATGCAGATGGAGGGAGGAAGGGAAATGATTATTTGATCTGCAGCCTGTTTTCCAGGTTGCCCACTTCCTATTTAATTTCTTGGTTTTCTGTCAACAGATCAAGGTAGTGAAATTCTCCTACATGTGGACCATCAATAACTTTAGCTTTTGCCGGGAGGAAATGGGTGAAGTCATTAAAAGTTCAACCTTTTCATCAGGAGCCAATGATAAACTGAAATGGTGAGGAAGACTATCTCTAGCTGTTAAAGTTTTTCTAAAAGTTACCTGTTTTGACTAGAACATAAGATCCTCGAAGGCAGAGACATTGTTATGTTCTTCACGTATTCTTTAGTGCCTAGAACAGTGCCTGGAACATGATAGGTGTTCATTGTAAAAATGTATTTTTAAAGACTTAGTTATTTAAAAGAGAACATGAACGGGGGGAGAGGGAGAATCCTCAGGCAGATGCCTCACTGAACACAGAGCCTGACCCGGTCTCGATCCCTGGACCCTGAGATCATGACCTGAGCCGAAATCAAGAGTCGGCCACTTAACCGACTGAGCCACCCAAGCGCCCTCACTATATATTTGTTGAATTAATTCAGTGAGTAATGTCAGGGATCAGCAAACTCAGATGGCTGTAGGGCAATATAAATGAGTAAAGAGGGCCAGTGTTGTAAATGATGTTCATATGTAGTGTGAGTGTTGAGTGACCTTCTAAAAGGGGTGGTGGCTGCTCAGCTCCAGCTCTCTGTGGCTGGGTGTGGATAAAGGCTGACCATTGTCATATTTGCTGACTTTTTAAGAAAAGGAAGAAATTTAGATTTTAGCATGAAAATCTCAACTTTAAATTGCCTGCTCTTAAAACAGTGAAGGAGATTTATTTGCTTATGGAACCGGAATGCCCAGGGTGTAGGGTGGTTTTGAAGGTAGTTTGATCCAGTAGCCCAGTGGTGAGATTAAGGACCCCATCTCTCTGTTCTCCACACTGTTGGACATCTCAAGTCAGTTTCCCTTGTGGTTAAAGGATGACTGGCAATAGCAATGGGTATAACCCACTACCATCCAACAGAACTCTTTGAACTTTCTCTGAATTAACTCTGTGGCCAGGAGTATGTCCTACATGTACTGACTGGCTTAGGTTTGGGTTCCCTCCATTAATCTCTAGAGCAAGGGGAATATGATCTGAGAGTCGGGGTCGGTCCCTTCCAAACCATGCATCCCCTTGAAGAGGTGCTGGCAGTTAAGGATACAGCCATCGGTTTGCTGCCAGGACCACAACACATGTGTCAGCCACCCAGTTTGGATCTCTGTTAACCTCTTGAAGAGTTAAACCACTCTCTTTAAGTATTTGTTGGCTGTGTGCATTAAGCAGTATATTACTAGGTGCCGAGAGAATGCTTTATTTTTAGGCGCTGTATGTATGTATGTATTTAAGAGAGAGGAGAGCATGAGCAAGCATGGGGTAGGGGCAGAAGGAGTTGGGGAGAGAGAATCATAAGCAGGCTCCATGCCCAGCACAGAGTCCAGTGTGGGGCTCGGTCTCATGACCCTGAGATCATGACCTGAGTTGAAATCAAGAGTCGGACTCTTAAACTGACTGAGCCACCCAGGCACCCTACTTGGGCATTGTATTTAAATTCACATCTTGAGCACAGTGTACACGGCATATGCACTGCCTGGAGGGGCACTGGGTTGGGCCACCTGTTTGAGAGAGGTGTTGTAACACTGGCAAAGCGTAAGGATACATATGGCCTGTGTATTATATGTGGTAGAAGTAGTGTGAACCACATGCAGTTCAACTAATGACATTTGCAACTTAACTCAATTGAACCTATTAAATCTGTCTGAAATTTGTCTTGATTCATTGGCAACAGATTGTCATCTCTGACTCCATTTGGAAGCCTAGCTTGGAACTCTATCCTGTGTAATGGGAGTTTACTTTTGTCTGTGCTTCCTCCATACTGCCTTCTTTATTTCAATCTTAGGATATTATTGCCAGATTGATAAAATACCTCTAAAAGATGATTTACTATTTACGTATTTCTCTGGAATTTTTTTTCCTCTCTCAAGGTGATAATAGAGAGCTCAATGACACTTTTTTTAGGGCAGGGTGACGGGAGGCAGAGGGAGAGGGAGAATCTTAAGCAAGCTCCATGCCCAGCGCCTGATGCAAGGCTTGATCTCACAACCCTGAGATCATGACCTGAGCTGAAATCAAGAGTCGGGCACTTAAACAACTGAGCCACACATGTGCCCCCAACATTGTGTTTTGCATAGTTTCATTATAGTCCTGACAAAAGAAGGGGGGCTGCCTTTCCTGAGATTGAGGATTAGAACACAGTGGAAGTAGGCTCAATTTTAAAATATTTTAGGGAGAGAAAAAGGTGATTTACGAGATTATGAGGAAGGAGGCAGAGATGTAAAGGATGTGTTGTCAGATTCTAGAATGCCCCTTTACTTTTGTTGTTTACTCTTTAAAAGGTGACTCCGGTTGCTCTCAAAAAGTGGTTCCTGAGTAGTCATTCTGCTGAATCTGAATCTCCTGCTGTGGGGCCCGGACTGGTTTTCTTAACATCTTCCTTTCTTGAGAAATAGATGTTCTGTTTTTCCTGTCACTTCAGAAAGCCTATAAACGGGGATGCTTCCAACATCTTTTTAAAATTTTCCCTCTTTCGGGCAGGTGTTTGCGAGTAAACCCAAAAGGGCTAGATGAAGAAAGCAAAGATTATCTGTCACTTTACCTGTTACTGGTCAGCTGTCCAAAGAGTGAAGTTCGGGCAAAATTCAAATTCTCCATCCTGAATGCCAAGGGAGAGGAAACCAAAGCTATGGGTAAATGTTCTTGTCTTCATTCGACTCTATTTGCACATCAAACAACTTCATGCACAGACAAGTGATGGATTTGATCTGGTGTGGTTTTTTGTTTTTTTGTTTTTTGTTTTGAGTAAATCTAAATATGACTTTTATTTTTTTTTTCCCCACTCCAGAGAGTCAACGGGCATATAGGTTTGTGCAAGGCAAAGACTGGGGATTCAAAAAATTCATCCGTAGAGATTTTCTCTTGGATGAGGCTAACGGGCTTCTCCCTGATGACAAGCTTACCCTCTTCTGTGAGGTGAGTCCTTTACCCCACGCTGAGAGTCACAGTTCCCAGACCTGATCGGTATCCGTAGACTTCATGACGTTGTGTCTGGGATGGAGAGGGAGAAAACTCCCTGAGTGGAGTGGTGCTCCACGAATGTGGTTTCTGTGACTGAAACTGCGTCACGATTTCAGGCTTGTTGGGCACGCCACCCTTCTGCTTGTTGTTACTGTGCTTAAAAACAAAGATTGTACACTATCTTGGTATGAGCGATTCTGGACTTGCTTGGGTCAGGATTCTGGCTTCTCTTGGGGGTGTTTTCAGGTAGCCTGTGGACAGACTGGCGCTGAAAGCTGAGGAGAATGCCGGCAGCTTGGTGTGTGGGTTTGTCCCTTAAACTTCCTGACTTCTGAAGTGTGACGTCCACTTGGGTCTGGCCTCAGATCACTTTCCTGTTGTGCTCCACTAGACAACTCGTCTCAGGAGTTGGGTATATCCGGTTTGTCTTGCTGGAGTAGTTGTGAAATGATGGCAAGAACCGTTTTTTCTGGAGTGAAGGGTAGATAAAGCTCTCTAACTTGTGGTTAGCTAGCAGGGTTATCTGTCGTCAGCCAGGAGAGTTTCTCTCTCTCCAGTGACCTAAAAGTCTGTCTGGGTTTAACAGGAGAAGCCTTGAAGTATTCCCAAAGTCAGAGTGAGTTGGAAAGTGGTTTCTTTAATGGGCTTACATGTACTAATCAGTCACTTCATGCTGTTATCAGTATATTTACAAATACTCATAAGCTTACAGCATAATAAATGAATAAAGCCTCCAGTCTGATGGGATCTTTGTGTTCCCTATACTTTGTGTGGTCGAGAACCACTTCCTGAGCCGCACCACTTGCAAGTGGCCACTGTGTGTTCATGGGCAGGGTGCGAGCAAGTTCCCTAACTACCGGTGTGTTCTGCCAAATAATGGGCTCAAGCTGTGAGTTAATGACACTTCCAAAGGCTTATGCCACCTGTGCAGCAGAGAACGGTGTCCCTTAGGGATCTTGCCCTTTCTCGGAAAAGGCCTGGCCAGCAGTAGTCGACTTCTCTCCCCAGTCACAGCTCATTGAGTATTTCTTTTGCAGAATAGTTGCTGGGGGTTAGACAAGTCTGGATGCAGAGTTTATTAAAGTACTACACTGAATATATAAAACAGTTGCATAATAGCTACGTCTTCTTTTTTGTTGTGAAGTAAAAGAAGGAAATACTAGACTGATGGCATCTCTATAAATACATTAAAGTGTTGCAGTTGTTTTTGTCTGTGAACTTGAGTTTGGAATTCCATATAAGTCCTACTAGATCAAACCCAGCTGCCCAAGTGAAGAAATGAGAACAATTAGGTGGTTTCGTGTGAGGTTCGATGGAAACTTCAGACCATCAATTTAATCTTCACCTACTTTAGAGACTGGTATTTCAGAAAGATTTAGAAATAGTGGAAAATTCTGATTTCTGCTGGAAATGGAAGCCAGTCTTTGAACTGTTCTCAAGAAAGAGAACTCTCCTTTAAATATTGCCTCTGGTGTTTTAGGCAAAGTGTTCCCCTGTATTGCCACATTTTCCAGGCCACAGTGGATCCAGCCTTTTCTCCCATGATCCCCCTTCCACCCCGCAGATCCATTCCAGCTGCTCCAACCCGTGCACTGACATTCTTGATTTGGAAACCGATTGGCCTGCCCTCACTTGGCAGTCTCTCATCCTGTGGTTAAGTCCAAGGCTCCGCTTCCCCATATGAAATTTTCTCCCTTCGCTTCCCCATATGAAATTCTCTGAGGAGAAATCCTGTGGTTAAGTTTAGATTCGTCTTACTGACTTAGAAGGGAAGTGAGATGACACTTTGGAAATGAGGAGATGTTGAACAGGGAAGCGTCTGCTGAGTTCTGCTGATGCCATCGGTTTCTTACCATCGAACCAGGTGTGCCATCTGTTCCTCTCACACTTCTCTGTTGGCCACAGGTGCTGAGTGTTGCTTCTCATACTTGGGCTTGTGCCTAGTGAGACTCGTTTCTGTTCCAAGGCTCTCTGTGGACTTAGTAGCATTCAGCATTGCAAGACGGTTGCGTGGGGGGGTGTGTTGGATGTGTGGGTTTTAAAAATGTCTGCAGCTCATCTAAGTTCTTAGTGCTTTCCAAAGCTAGATCATTCTTTTCTGCACATTCTGTCCTTTTGACCTGTTGCTGCCTTCTGCCAGTGGATTATTTATAAACAAGTATTTTAGTTCATATTTTATTTTATGTATTACTGGTTGAGCTAGTATTTTTTTTATTATTATTATTCAGAGGCTTTTATGAAGCCGACGTCCACATACAAATTTAGGTTATGAGCCCTCCACTGCTCTGTTCCTCACTTAGCCTTTGGCCTGGGCATTTCCATCCTATCTGTCGACGGATTATTTATAAATAAGTTTACTGCATCGCGATAAAAAAAAAAAAACAAAACAAAACAGTTCTATGGATTCTTTTTGCTGTTCCTAGAGACCACAGGAAGGAATCCTAAGGTGAAAGACTAAAAATCACATGTCTGTGTTTGGGCTTTATTTCAGTGGTATTACTGTTAATGAACATTTAAATGAAATTCAATCTCATACTGTCCAAATGCTGAATGGGTGGTCTTGTTCACCTGGGTTCACCTTCAGTTCTCAGTGATGTTTTTGTCCATTAGGAAATGTGTCCATTCTTCCAAGGTGATATGGCTTAGTTAACATATTTGGAAGCATTTTCGAAGTATTCCCTGAATTGTCTCATCACAATCCTTTGAGCTGGATTAGTTCTGTTATCTTCATTTCATGTTACTGGGAGAGAAGCAGTGCCTAGGGAGGTCAGGTAATTTTTCCTAACATTGTACCGCAAATTAGTGTCAGGCCATGTCAGCTCTGCATTTTCCACCTCTGGACGGCCGCGCAGCGCTACGTGGAGCCGCATGCCATTCCCCCAAGGAAATGTGGGCTCTACCAAGTTTTCCTAACAGAGAGTGTTTACTTTGGTAATGAAAGAATCAGGAAGGCTTTACACTTTAAATTTTCTCTTTAATAGTTTGTCTCACAGAACATCTGCATGAAATGTTTCAGCTTCTGTTGGCCCTTCCCTGTTTGTTTATACTGAAAACAAATAGCTACTAACAAGAAAGGGACAGATATTCCCCCTTCACTGTACGTACCTTTGACAGGTGGAAGATTCCAGTGTCCCTTTGTGATGTTGCAGTTAAAGTTGAAACATGAAATATCCTATGAAGTTTGAAATACCAAATATGGACCACGCAGGCACTAGTTGACTCTTAAAATATCCCTTTTCTTCTCAAACATAGAATGTCCTTTCATAGCCTGGGAATGTGTATGTTTACCAAATTTGAAATATGTGAGTCTCTTCTTTTTTGGGGGGTTATTTGGATATATTGATTGAACTATATGACAAGGCTAATATTTGATTAGTCTTGACCTATGAAAATGGTGATTTTAATATGTAACGTTATTTAGGTTATAAACATACTGTAATAAACCCAGCACCCAACCCAGCAGCATCACCAATAACTTGGAACTAACCTGTATATATTTCTTCACTCTCCCTTAGACCTGTTGTCCCCCTACTCAGGGAATGATGATAAGTAGCTGTCCGAAATTGTATGCAATCATTCTCTTGTTCACTATGTGTGTGCCTGAAGAATGTACTAGTTTAGATTTGCTTGTTTTTTTTGCGCTTTATAAAAATGGTTTCAGAATGTATTTATAATGATGGGTGTAACTCTAGTGTTTTCATTTTTAGTGCTATGTGATAGTGTGTTGTGTGAATGTAAAACAGTTTGTTGATTCATTCTTTGGTTGGACATTTAGATTGTGGCCAGTCTTTTGATTAAAAGTAATGCTGCTGATATAAGCCATCTCTATGCAGAGTCTATTTTTTCCTTGATTGTTTTAATTATAAGGAAGTTAAAAAATGTATTTCCATTGGTCTTAGTTTGACTTTTCATGTTTAGATAAAATGTATAAGAATTGGCACACTCTTTAGTCTTTTATGGAAATTTTCTTTTTTAAGACAAGGAATTGACTTTAAAAGTGAGGCCCGTTTATGACTTGAAATGTAGAGGGCTATACAGTCTTCCTGAGACATTTCCATGTAGTCATTTATAAGACGACATAAATGTCACAGTCACGTCATCTTCACAGCTGCAATTCTGAATGAGTCTCCATAGTCAACTTTATAGGCATTAAAAAAATCTTTAGTTTTTCTCAAAATGGTCTCATTTTAGCATCATCATTTGCAGAGGAAAACAATCCCTTCCTAAGTTAAAAGTTTGGGCTCTGAAGACTCATTTGTGAATGCCATTTAAAATTTATTTTTAATTAAGCGTATTTAATGTTGGTAAGAGGTGCCAGACATTCCGCGCTCTGGAGACTCCAGGCATCCATATATCTACAGAACAAGTCTGGCTCAGACAGTAAAGGTACATTCTCCTTCCTGCTGTGTTCCTGTCTGTGTCTGGAGAGAGGAATTGCCCCAGTGAGACGGATCACAGTCTTTGGGCTCCACTCGTTACCAAGCGTGCATCTAACCAGCAGAGGGTCCACTGGTAACCATAGCTTGACATTCGGCTTAGTTCCTGCCATTTCATTTTACCCCATCCAGTAAATTGCCTCAAGTGTTAATGACTCTGGGCTCCTGTCAACCTGGTTTAATACAAGCTTAGGAACCCAGTGCCAGAAGCATCCTCCATTCCCTCCACTGGCCATCCCAAGAGATTCCTGCCTTTTCCTGTGAGGAAGTGGATTTAATTGGTCTTTTCCTTTTCCTCCCCCTCCCCCTTTTTTTAAAAATCAGTATTTTGAGGCTATAGCTAGAGACTGGAAACTTCTACTTCTGGTGTTAGTATGAGAAAGTGGCTGGACCAAATTAGAGATCTTAACATAGGACAAGAGGAAATCTCTGTGGGGTAGTTTGTGCTGGGTCCTGGGCTATTAAAATAATGTTATAATCTGGCTCTGATAAATGTGCTACTGATGTTACATACATTCATAATTGATTAACTTGGTGGCTTCACTGCACAGGATCATAATGGTTAGTTTGAAATAAATGAATACATTTCTCGACCTGATAGTAAATCTCTCACTCCTTCAGAAAAGAGACTACGGGTCATTTGGATGCCAGGACATTCGTTTTGCCTCTGGGTTTATGACTGCATTTAAGGGATGACTTGCATCTTGAAGGTTGAGAGAAATTTGGGTCATTTAGGATATTCCTAAGCTGTCTTTCTCATCTAACTTGTAGCAGTAGAGCAAGAGTGAGGAGCTGATTCTCCAGGTTTGTGAATTCTGCTTTGGTATTACCAATTTTAACCTCATGTGATGGACAAGGTAAAGCATAGCAGTGGTTGTTAGGCAGAAGACTGATCTGCTGGGCCTTGGCTTCAGTTTGGTAGTTTCCATTTATTTTAGAATGCTACGTTATTTATAAATCCTTGTGCTTGGCATCTAACAAGTTTTTCTGAGTCTCACTGACCCATCTTGGTTTTTATCTGGCTGAACAGTTAATTGAACTAGTTAAAGTGTGTTGCTGTTGAAGTCATGGGGGCAAGTTGGTTCCCTCCATAAATCTGTGGCTGTCACTTTGTTCCAGGGCTAGAAGTGCACATGGGGCTGGAGCCAGGTCTCTTGTAGGTTACTGTCACAAGGGACTGAGGAAGGGTGTCAGTGGTGTGGGATACCCACCGAGTTGTCACTGCTGGGGAAGATCTTCCAGAAGATCTGAAGAACAGAACAGAAGTTCTGTTCATTAGACTAACATCTGTGAGGAAATGCTAATTATTTACCAGGCCCAAGAGAAGCTGCATTTTATTTTCATGTTCTAGACCTAACTAAAATAAGTGAAGTACTTTTAGGCTTATCAGAAATTTTTTCTTTTAGAGAATTTTAAATGGTAGTTTCCATAGGAATTGTTTGTTTTAAAGATTTTATTTATTTGAGAGAAAGTGACAGAGAGATCACAAGCAGGGGGGAAGGGTAGAGGGAGAAGCAGACTCCCCACTGAGCAGGGATCCCGATGCGGGACTCGATCCCAGAACCCTGGGATCATGACCTGAGCCAAAGGTAGCCACTTAACTGACTGACCCACCTAGGTGCCCCTCCATAGGAATTCTTTGTATTTAACCTTTTGCTTAAGGCAAAATAAGGTAAACACTTGAGGTTTAATGTGTGCTTAGGTCAGTGTGCCTTTCTCCCCCTACCACCACCACCCCCGTTTTGCCCAGGTTTTCAAGGCAGGGGAGGCAGAGTTTACTAGCATTTGGAGGAGAAGGAGATTTGTGGGGCTTTTGCCTCTCATCCTAGGATGGTGTAGAATAAGTATGATTGTGGCAGATTGGAAATTACTTGATCCACAGGATAAAGCCTTGATTTGTGGAGGTGGTTTCAAGAGAACATGACTAACGTTTGTATCTGAATGTACTACAGCACTGAGGTAAAAGTCATCTCTTCTCCTGCTGGGAAGAAAACTCTTGGTAACAAAACCTTTGGGCTGTTTCCTTGTCTTTCACAGGTGAGCGTGGTGCAAGATTCCGTCAACATTTCCGGCCAGAACACCATGAATATGGTGAAGGTCCCTGAGTGCCGGCTGGCAGATGAGCTGGGAGGACTGTGGGAGAACTCCCGGTTCACGGACTGCTGTCTGTGCGTTGCCGGCCAGGAGTTCCAGGCTCACAAAGCTATCTTGGCAGGTTGGTCTTTATTCATGAGAAGCTTTAGTTTTGGTGAAACAAGGAAAAATGGTGGCTGCATAATCACCTTTTGAATAGCATCAACTCTTCGAACTGGTGCACTTAAAAATAAAGCTAAATATATATATTTTTATGGTGAGGACATTAGTTGTCATAACCAAAAAGCCTACTCTTCGTAGAAGTGGAGTTTCTGTTTTTCCTCTCTCTAGGGGACTTAGGCCACCATTGTCAAGCCGTAGATGATGTATATTGAATGCCTTTGCACCTAGGGGGTAGATGTCAAAACACTGGTTAAGAGGAGGTGTTAGCCCCTAGACAGGGGCTTAAGATGTAGTGGAGAAGATTCTGGACTTGGGACTAAACCAGCCCTGGAGCGTTAGCCTTCAGTACTGGAGCATTAGCCTTCCCCAGCCCTGGAGCGTTAGCCTTCAGTACAGACATACCAGAAGAATGAGAATTTGCTAGTGACGTGGAGGATTAGGTCTTGCTCAAGGCCATTGTCCTTAAGACCAGAAAGACTGACAAAGAGTGGGAGCTGATAAGGCAGGACTGACTTTACTTCCCACGAAGGCATAGCAGTCAGCCACAGACTTCTGTTCAGACCATAAGACATAAGAGGAAATTGCATGAACTTTCAGGCAACAATTTTTTTTTTACCAAGACTCTCAGCTCTATCATTCTAAAATACACACCTGGCAAAACCTCAGTCTGGCTCAATCTAACTGTCTTCCTGTTCCTGCTCTCAACTAGGTGTTACTGTCTATTGCCAAAGGAAGTCATCTACTCTTAGGTTAATGTCTCCACAAGCAGCTAGGCTCTTGGCACTGCCAAGAACTCTTCTACAGATATATAGTTAGCTCTCTTTATTTTTCCTTAACAATAGATACTTCAGACTGTTTACCAGTCTCCTTTAATGTCTGGACTCCTGAAAGAGTTGCTTGCTACTACTTCTGAGAGAAAATTGAGGCCCTTCTCCCTCAGCTCTTGCCTGTCGCCTTGCGTGCATTTTCCCTGCATTCTCTGTGGAGGTGGTGTTTTCCTCGTGTCCAGAGCGGGCTGTCTCTTCGGCTTCTGTTTCATATCGCATGCCGCCTTCCCAGAGTCCTTACTCTGCCGGTTATACCCTTGTTGCCTGGTATCTCCACCATCTCTCTTTCTCCGATTGTCTGTTTACCCTTAGCCTGGAAACTGGCTCAGCCGTCTCCCTCTAGTTATTCATTCATTCATATTCATTTTCTCTGTCTCTCCCTCTCTCCCTCTCTCTCCATTTCTCTTTAAATAGAGCTAAGTTTCTTGAGTTAGCACATTTACTGTCTCTGCTTCTTTCCTCCCACTTATCCTCAGTTCACCTCCATGCCACGAAAGCAGTTTTCCAAAGTTCTCTGACCTGCTAATTCCTAAATTTGAGGGATTCCTTAGTTCGTATATTATTTGACTTCTTTCTTCTGGTTCTCTCCTGATGCTCTGGCTACTTCTGATGTGTGGCCTCCCTCTTCTTCACATGTCCCTGTCAACACTGGTGTCCCTAAGGGCCTGCCTCAGTTCTCTTTTCCTCTGCTTATTTCCCCTGGGTGGTGTTCTTTATTCTCATAGCAGCATTTTGAGTCTAGCCACTGAAGATCTTCTAAGCATACCGCTGCTTTGGACCCTTCCCTTTTTAAAAAAAACCACCAGCCCTTTTACTCTTTGGTTTTTGTGATATCCTTATTTTAGTACCCTATAGCTGATGAGCCTTCTGAACTAAAAGCGGTGAGAATTAATGTCCCTTTGGAATATTTTAAAATATTGAGTCTCAGAGGGATAAGTGATTTGCCCAAGATAATGTGGTTAGAAAATGACAGATCCAGAATTAATCCTTTCTGACATAAACTGTAGGCCCAAGTTCAGGTGACCTGGTGGCTCAGAGTCCTGCTACATTTTCCATCTGGTGCTCCTCTCTCAGGTGGAAATTTGGTAGTCTCCGCCTTCATCAAAACTTCTGATTTATTCGACAACATGATAAAGTTTGAGGGGTTTAGGCCTTTTATTACTTTCATGGTTGAAATTAAGTTGACTTATTTTTCTGTGTTCATTAGACCGCAGTGGGCTTAGAACACCATTTCTCAACCTTTTTTCATTATCCCCACACCCCCCAAGGAAAAAAAATCAAATTATTCCTAATGGGAGATATTAAATACTAAGGATTAAGTTTTTGTCAGGAAGAGTAGAATTTTGAAGGACCACAGATGGTTTTCATACCTTAGTTTTTGTTTTGTTTTGTTTTGTTTGCCTCTTTGGGGTGTTATCCTCTCTATTGTGAATGCGTGGCCTAAAGGAACAGAGCACCTGCTGTAAACAAGCATGCTCTTCCTCTAGTTAATGGTGCACTGAGCCCTGTTCTTGGCCTTCTTGCTGTGTGGTCCCTAGAACTGGAGAATTTAGTATCATTGTTCTAGGCAAAAATTGGGGTATTAGGATGCCTTGCTTAGACCATGAAGGATCTTCCGTTTGAACCCCCAAACCTGCCCAGAGGAGGTCATGGTCCTCCAGTCTGAGTAATTTCGTTCCAATATGAATGGTTGGAATGGAGCTCCTGAGAAATTATTTTGAAAGTACTGATTTCTTTTTTCCCCTCTGTCATGTTATTCACTTCTTGGTGTAATGTAAGAAGAGAGGGATTTTATTATTCCAGTGTAATTTGAGGCTAAGACCCTTTCACGTAGCAAAAGGACAAGAAAGAAGGTGATCTCTTCATAACAGAAGAACCAAGAGGTTTCAGTGTGATAACCTTTTCTATCTCTGTTTCCCTTTCACTTTGTAGCTCGTTCTCCAGTTTTTAGTGCCATGTTTGAACATGAAATGGAGGAGAGCAAAAAGGTATGTGACAGAATGAAGATATGTCTTTTTAGCTAGGTGACTAGGTGCAGATGATTTCCCAATTTCACACCACATGTATTTTTCCAGTCATGTTATTAAAATGGAATACTGTTCTCGGAACACTTTCTGAGAGCAGGGAGAGGTGGTCCGGAAGCATTCTAGGTTAAACAGACTCACTCCATCCCAGGTAGATCATCGAGTTTTGTGTGAGGTTCTTAGACGTGTGTTTCTACTCAGGCGAAGAAACACCAAAAAATCAAAGAAACAGTTGTCTTGCTCTTGTATTTGAGAAGATAAAGGTGGTGCATATGATGGGAGCAAAGGCTGTTCTAATGAAATAGGGCAAAGAGAGAATTCTCATCCATGTTAGGTTTTAGATGATAACAAGCCTTTCTCTCACCAGAGCTTAAAATCATGAAAATTGTTTAGGGATTTTGTTCTGTTGGAATGTTTCTCATTTTCAGTTTTTCTGGCATAGAATCGGGTTGAAATCAATGATGTGGAGCCTGAAGTTTTTAAGGAAATGATGTGCTTCATTTACACGGGGAAGGCTCCGAACCTCGACAAAATGGCTGATGATTTGTTGGCAGCTGCTGACAAGGTGAGATAAGACTAGAAAAGGAATCACAAGAGGAGGAGTGTTTGTGACCTTGTGAGTTTCATGACTGGGCCTCTGTGTTACACAGTAGGTAAGACGAGCGTGTATCTCAGTGTGCCCAGGGCAGTCCTGGGTTGCAGTAATTGATAGCACCACCGTTTTTATTTTCCAAAGTGTCCTGCTGTCAAAGTAACTTCTGTGGTCACCCTAATTACAGAAAAGAAGGGTAAGTTTGCTGTTCACCTCCCTTCTCTTCCCCATCTCACATGTAAGCATAGGGGATATTAAAGATTCAGATAATACTAACATTTGACTTTATAATGTACAAAGTGTTCTTGAGTTTATTAACTTTTTCTTTCTAAATAGTGAGAGATTTTATTTTTTTAAACTTTTTCTTCTAATTCTAGTTAACCTACAGTGTTGTAGTAGTTTCATATATATAATATGGTGATTGAACAATCCCATACATCCTGTGGCTCCTGATGGGACAAGTACACTCCTTGATCTCCATCACCTGTTTCACCCTTCCTCCCACCCGCCTCCCCTTGAGTGCATAAACTTTTATTTTAAACTTTGTCAGTAAGAGAATAGTCTTTTACCCAGTGTTGTGGTTAACATTTTCAACTTTTATCTAAGGAACTATTGAAATATACCACAGTCAGAATTACAAGATGACCGGTAGCTCTTGGAACGAAGAAATAGTACTGCAGTAAATGCGTGCGTTGATCATTTCATTTCAATTTGAGAAACATTGAAGTGTGAAAATTAAAGTATGGACCTTAGGATCAAGGAAACAGGGGAAGGACCAAAACCAGTAGGCCAATTATTCCCAAAAGAAGTTTGGAGGGAAATTATTGATGAAACACTGAGCTTAAACAAGTCAAATTGGGGTTCCTGTGTGTTGGCTGTCTTAACTGCAAGATTTCTCAGAATCTTTTTAGTATGTTAATGTACACTGTGAGTTTTCTAAAAAAAATATGATAGACCGCATTTCTCTAGCTTAGTCAACCCTGAAATCCTTTTCCTCAAGAATCACCTCTGGGAATTAGTGTCCCCAAAAACACACCTGGGGAAACTGACTTTCTTTATGCAGATAGGTCAGAAAGAGCTCGGTAACCTGTCCTCCAAGGCCCTGTACTCTGAGGAAGCACAAGCTCTTTTTCCTCTGGAAGTTTCTTAAAAGGGTTTATACCTGGCCAGCAGCAGACCCCATGAAAAGGACCAATCCCCGCTGGAAGTGTTGCTCCTCTTCCTACCGTATGATGCTCCAGCACCCATCTGGGGGCAGAGCTGGCTCAGACCTGAGGCCACTAGAGCCTTCCCAGGATTTCCCCGTGGGAAGAGTCTCCTTCCACTTTTCTTTGCACCTCGAGGACAGAGGAAGGACGTGCTTTGACAGTGGAGTTTTGTATTTATTGATCAGCTTTTTGGAGTGTTTGTAGAGGACGAGGCACGTAAATCCTCATTGATTGGGTTTGAAAGGATTGAGTAGTAGCTGTATCCTTTCAAGATTTTATGAATCCAGTTAGGCAGTGCGAACATTCCCTGTGCTCCCAGTCTGGCTCCATGCTGACCACAGGAGTCTTGCTTTCAGTGGGGGCAGTAAAGAACTATCTGCCGTGAGCTCTGGAGAACTAGAAGACACAGCTTTTTGTAAACACGCGTTTATAATGATCCTGCCTCATCTGCCTTCTGATTTTCAGTGAAGTGTATACATGCCAGGTACTTAGCCCACTGTAGTGGGCTAAGGGAAGAGTAGTGTCAGAAAGCCCACTTTTCAGACAGAAATACTGAGGCTGAGCGGTATATATTCTCAGAGCCAGGGTTTGACGTCTGTGTCATTCCTGGGTTTTCATTCCTGCTCCTCAGCCAGAGAACATACTGGGCAGCCCCCGTCAGTACGTAGAGCATGGGGATCGGCCTGAATTGGCATTCTGTGGCTGTCTTCAGTATAGTGTGCTAACTTGCAGTTTTAAAAGATAAAGTAGTCGAATCGCAGCAGTGCTTTAAATTTATGAATGAGAAGTAAGTGAAGGGTGCATTTTCAAATTCCATTCAGAATTTCCTATCAGACAGTCTTTGCTCCCAGCTTACTTGAAAACATTTTTACCTTTACACCTCATTGTGAGCTTCAGGAAAACAGAATAAGAAATCTTTCATGGAAGGATCTAAACATCTAAAATTTACCCAAGAGGCTGAAACAGCTTCTTCTGGGCTTTTCCAGTCTCCTGGGGACACGTGTAATTAGACCAAAAACAAAACAAAACACGTCGGCCAGGCCTAGGAGACACAATTTCAATCTCCTGAGTAAGTACAGCCATTAGGCAGGTTTTTCAGAAGCATAATTAAGAAAAAAAACTTTGTCTCCCAAGGGACAAGAATGGCTACTTTTGTCTAATTATGCAGTAGGGATCAGAACTATTCACAGTAAAAAGTCCTTTTAAAAGAATGTATCGAGAAAGGGTAAGAGGAATGTTCTGTGCAGCACTGTATAAAGACCGAACATTTATTCAACCTTTTCCAGGCTTTTAAAACAAAAATGGCAACCTAATTTCTTGCTTGTCTAGTGTCATTCCTGTTTTCCATGGAAACTGTTTTCTAGTTACTCAAATGTAAAAAATTAAAGCTGCACCAAAACCAATAAAACTCTCTTTTTGCTGCAGGAGATCACAGTGCCCACAGACATGCCTCCTCACCCAGAATTCATAAAAATAAAATTGTCTTGGTTTGATTGCCATGATTCAGCCTGAAGTAGTTATTGTGTCATTGAGTTCTGAGGTCCCGGAGGTGGGACCAGTACGGAGACTGTGGATACCCTTAAAGCAGAGGGTTCTCCTATGAACTGATTAATAATGTTTTATTTTGTGACTCCTTTTATACCTTCCTCCTCCTCCTTGCTCCTGAAGTTCCTTAGTAAGTTCATAATCTCATATTTGAGAGCACATACTACAGTGGCATCAAAACAAATCCGCTAGATCAGATGTGCCCAGTGTTAACCCAGACCTTCATTTCTAGAACATTTATACCCTTTACTTGGAAAATAGGAAGTTTTTAGATCAAAACTGGATCCAGGGTCTCTGCTGCTTTGTTCCTACCCTGAGAATCTTAACCTCAACCTCAGGAAAGAGGACTCCATTTATCCCTTCTCTTGAAAAGGAGACCTTTGGTTGACCCTCATTCAGGACCAGCTAGTGGCAGAGATGCTGGTGAAAGTCACCCCGGGGCTCCTTTTCACAGCCCGATGGGCCAGTTGGCATACCTGCCGGGCTGGTGACATTGCTTAAGTAGAAAGGACTGTGCTTCACCCTCGTTTGGCTCTGACTCAAAGGATGGCAGGAATGTAAAAGGTCATGTCCCATTGGCTTGAAGCAGGGTTATGCCTCATCGTAAGGGAGGGTAGGTGGTGGTGGTCCAGGAAACACTCGAGTCCCTCTTGGGGCAGGGTGACCTTGACGATGTGGGTGTACTCCCTAATGGCCATTTTCCCAGCAAGTGGATTTTAGAACGTGAGTGGCAGCCATGCACGTTATTTTAGCGGTCTTCTTTTCAGCCTTGGGGCGTGCTTGTGCCTTATCACTGCGGTAGCTCAGTGGCCTTGTCACGCGCTGTGCAGTTCTGCTCTGGAGTCCCGTTCCGCGGCCGTCCCGCTGAGGAGCACAGCTGCAGCGGCCGCAGCCCAGAGGCACCCCCGCCCTGACCACAGCAGTGCTTGTGTCTTCCAGTACGCCCTGGAGCGCTTGAAGGTCATGTGCGAGGACGCCCTCTGCAGTAACCTCTCCGTGGAGAACGCCGCAGAGATTCTCATCCTGGCTGACCTCCACAGCGCCGATCAGTTGAAAACTCAGGCAGTGGACTTCATCAACTAGTGAGTCGGCACCTTCAAAGCTGTCCTTTCAGGAGAGCCGGGCTAGCAAGAGAAAGGAGAGGGACTTTGAATTAGGGAGTAAAACAGGCACGTGGCTTCGTTAGCCCCTTGTAGTAAGTAGAGGGTTTTCATCTTTCCCTTCAGCTTGACTGGACGGGAGATGGTCTCAGGAGATGGTCTTGCTCTGTCTTGTGGGGCTAACCCGATTGGTAAGCGAGGTGCTTTCCTTCCTGGCGGTGATGGGAAGCAGTGAAATGATGAGCAGCTGGCCAGGAAAGGCGGGGTGCCCCGAATGGCAGCACCTTCACTTCCCACTCCTGGGCTTAGTAGAGGACATGTAGGTCTCCGGGAGAACAGAGGTGGGTTTTGTATGAGTTAGTAAAACGTGTCTGACAGCTGATTGTGGAATGGGGAAAAGAGAAGGGATAACCAGTTGTCGAGGCTGTTGAATACTGCCCGGAAAGGAAGTGTTCATTCCAGCAGATCTGTCCTGTCATCCTAAATGACAGAGGACCTGGCCACACTGCTCTCTGCGGTAATTCTCAGTGGGGCATGTTCTGCTCCCTTGCCTGTTGGAGAACAGAAGCTGGGAAAAACCCAAAGGGGAGAAGCAGGCCTTAAAAAGCCCTCACAGGGGCGCCTGGGTGGCTCAGTGGGCTAAGAGCCTCTGCCTTCGGCTCAGGTCATGATCCCGGGGCCTGGGATGGAGCCCCGCATCGGGCTCTCTGCTCAGTGGGGAGCCTGCTTCCTCCTCTCTCTCTGCCTGCCTCTCTGCCTACTTGTGTTCTCGGTCTGTCAAATAAATAAATAAAATCTTAAAAAAAAAAAAGCCCTCAGAGCAGCAGTTCTGGGCTGAGGCCGGCTTAAAAGGTTGCTGAGTAGATGAGTGGACATTGTTTAACAAAGAAAATGCCCCCAAAGAGGAATCAGCTTCCTCGATGTAAGGTTGTTTTGAAGGAGTTTACCGATTGCGGCAAAGGTAGGTGGGAAGAGACCCCAGATGTTCCTTCTAGTGACGGCTCGCTCCGTGCTGGACACTCGCGTGGTGCTCTTTAGATGTTAACATTTGGTAGGGCGTGGTATGGTCCCCTCCGGCTGATCGAATAGAGCCGCGGCCGTGATCTGGTCTGTGGTCGGGGACCAGCATGATGGCAGAGCCAGATGGAAGCTCAGAGCTGCCGGACAAGAGAGCCCTTGCTCTCTCTCTGTCGTAGCCTCACCAGTGAATGTGAAGAGCATCCGTGATGGAGAGAAGGGCCTGAGGAACATTTCGCCTTTTGTATTGGGGGGGGGGGGGCTCCAAATCCAGGCTTTCCGAGCTGCAGCAGCCTCAGCCTGGGCAGCTGTCTGCACGGTGTGTGACGGGCTCTGTCGACGAAGGGTTCCGCCCGAGTGTTTGGCCCCCTTTACAGCGGACTCCGGGAGGTTAGACTGCCCGGGGGGCAGTGGACCCCAGCCCTCTCTCGTGCCTTTGGTAATCCATCTCTCCACATTTCTCCTAGTCATGCTTCGGATGTCTTGGAGACCTCCGGGTGGAAGTCAATGGTGGTGTCGCATCCCCACTTGGTGGCTGAGGCCTACCGCTCTCTGGCTTCAGCACAGTGCCCTTTTCTGGGACCCCCACGCAAGCGCCTGAAGCAGTCCTAAGATCCTGCCTGTCGTAAGACTCCGTGTGTTTTCCTGAAGCAGCGGCCACCGTTGCTGCCACTGACCACCAGGTAGACAGCGCAATCTGTGGAGCTTTTACTCTGTCGTGGGGGCAGAAGACTGCATCGTGGCCCCCAGGCTTTCAAAACAGCACTAAATAAACTTGGGGGAAGCGGGGGGTGGGAAGGGCCCGGGACCTGGGGCTGCTCAACCTAATGAAAACCCTGTTGCTGCGTCACTGTGTTCCCTTTGGCCTGGCCGACTTTGGTACTGTGGGGATTCAGTTTAGGCGCCGGCCCGGAGGACGTCCCAGCGGTGGTACTTCGGAGAGACCTGTCTGCATCTGACTGAGCAGAACAGATCGTCAGGTGCCTGGAGCAAAAAGGAAAAAAAAAAAAAAAAAAAAAAAGGACATTTAGTTATAAGAGAAGGGAAAAGGAAAGGAAAGAAGAAAGGATTTTTGCAGAATTTCTCAAAAATCAATTTGTGGATTCCAGTAGTATTTATGTTGAGAGAAATTTTAGTCCATCCAGCTGTGCTAAAACTTGGATATTTGTGACAACTCCTCACCACCATACAAGTATCAGAAGAGCTCTCTTGTTGTTAGCACTTATTGTTTGCAAGAACAGAATACATCCTTTTATCCTTTTATGAAAATTGACAAGTGAAGGCGAGAGGGGAAGGAGGTTATTTGAGCTGGAAGATGCGTGTTCTGATGTGGTGGCTTTTGCAAAAAATCTTTATCGGTGTTGAAAACTGGAAAAAAATAATTCATCCAGAATTCATACTGTCTTGACAAGAACTCTGGTTCTCTGTTTTTAGATATTGTGGAAAATGTTTTTTGGCATTTTTCTCTGATTTTATTTCTCCTCCCTCCCCCCCTTTTCTAAGAAAATAAAATGCAAAACAAAAACAGAACAAAAAAGAAGAGAAAAGAAAAGGAAATTTTATTATTAATGCTGTGTGACAAAAATCCCAGCCCAGATTGCTCAGCTGTTCGTACCTGACTTGCCGCCTGCGTAGGAGCCAGTCCTGTTCCTTCCAACTCACCCCTTTCCTACAGGGGAGAACTTCCAAATGTTAATTGTTTTCTTTTTGAAAATATAAATAATTACTATTTTGTACTGTGTGGTATCTCTGGTCTTTTGTTTCACTCACCTGGCTGGCTTTTTGGGTCTGAGTTCCTCAAGGGATTTCAGAGACCTGGTTTGAGCCTTCAGCTTGCAGAGATTCTATGAGAAATGTCTACCCATGGGGATTTACTGTGTCTCCCTCACCCCGGGCTGCCTCTTGGAGCTCCCAGCATCTACCAGTGTCTTGTCCTCCTCGAGTATCTCACAGGCCACATTCTAATGAGGGATCAGGCTCCTGCCTCTGCCAAGGCAAGTAATGGGGGTGGGCTTTTCTACCCCCTACATGTTCTAACACCTAACTCCCAACCTCCCTTCTCCTAGCTAACTATAAATAGATCAAGGGGACATGAATGTGGAGATTAAATAAAGGGAAATCATTATCTCTGACTGGTTCTGTCACTGACTTGATGTATTTCCAGAAAAGTTAATGTCTGAATACCCGGTGGGCTCACAAGGACACTCCAGGGCTCCTCTGCCTTTCTCACAACAGTGCTGGACAGGACAGGACAGTGGGACACACCGGAAAATGCAGTGGCCATGTGGCCAAGGTGTGTACATTTGACCTTAGATGGAGACTCAACGTATTCCATCTCCCATTTCTCTCCAATGACTTTGGCCTTGGCAGATTTTCCAGTTTTCATTCATCTTGCCCAAGGTCCTAGAATGACCAGCTGTGGTTGAGCATCGACACGGGCGCACAGAGGATGCGCTTATTAGAAACCATCCCATTGCACTTGTCAGTTTCCTCCCACGGCTAACGTCTGGGAGGAAGTATCCGGTGTTCCACATCGTGGCTGCCGTCCTGTGCCACCTCGTCCTCGCTCTCCAGGTCAGCACACTGGTCCAGGGCTCCAGCATGCACAGAGTCTCCTCCGCCCATGTGGCCTCCTGGGCCACTGCATTGCCTCATTCGCTCAGCTCTTCTTGGTTTTCACCGAACCTTCATAAACAGTATTTCATTTAAACTTCCCAACAACCAAGTGACAGACAGCACCTTCCCATTCTATAGTGAAGAGAAGTGGAAACACAGAGCAGTCAAGTGACATGCGTCAGATCCCACAACTGTCGAGTGACAGTTCTCCTGATATACAGTACCCTGAGAAGATTACGAAAGTAGAGGGAGGAGGTTCCATTTCTGAAAAGTTTCGGTCCAAAATCAGAGGTAAAGTTTCCTTCCTATGGGAGAAGCAAGAGCAAAGCTCTAGAGAGATCCAACTGCTGTCCTGTTCTTCCAGGGGGCCAGGAGGATCAGTCTGCCTTCAGGTTTGCTTTCCTCCTTGTTCATAGAAAGCTGTGGGTTGGGGGCCGGTGGTTTCAGGGCCTATGCCTCGGGAGGGGAGCAGTCCTGGTACCAAGCTTCATCAGGAGGAAGGTCTCTTTGGGGATTTTCCAATATTTTTGGAATCTCCAATGTGGGTACAAAGCTGTTAGGATTTCAGGTACAGGTGAAACTGCTCGATGCTTCTCCTGTCATTATTACATTATTTCTGGACGTGTTTGTTTTTGTTTAAATGATACAGTTGAAGCCATCTGGTTATGACAACATCAGAGCCCCAGCATACTGTTCGTAAACCTCCCACTGCCACCACCCCCTCCCTCAGCTCCCCCCACATCTGAAATTTAATTCAAGTTAACTCCACAATCTTGGGCATGTGCTGTCACTGAAGAGATGTCCGCGCCAGTGGAACAGTTGGAGATTTCAATTCCACAAGGATATAGCTTATTTATCAAAACAATATTTCAGGCGAGTAGTTTCACAGAACCTTTGGAGTTAACGGTTTGAGGTCCAAACAGAGTATCTGGCTTTGGTCCCTACCGCACCCCCCACCCCGTTGTTGGCCCCTGTATCTGGTCATCCGTGGAAAATTTTCCCATTGCTCGTGTGGAGATGAGCCCTTTCTGTGTTGCCATTAGGCATCTCCTACCCCTTTATGGGATTTAACAGTTCAGGTAAGAGCGGCCTCTCACTGGCTACTCTGCTGGGCTTGGCGGATCTTTAGAAGAGAATCATCTTCTTTTTTTTTTTTTTTTAAGTTCTAGCCAGGAATGTCAAGATCCTTTCTTAGGCCAGAAGATCTCTGGCTTCCCCATTCTGCGCATCCATTTATAAATCTGGTTTAAACCTATTGTGGGTTCTCCGTATTGTGTGAGCCTGTGTAGATGAAAGGAAACAGCTTGTATGTTTATGAGCCGAACAACAAACAGAGGGGGCGTGGCACTGCACTTTGAAACTGACTGTTGCTTTGTTCTGGCTCCTCAACTCCTAGAAAAGAACAGCAGCTGAATCCCCCAACCTGACTGCATTGGATCCTTCCGTTTATCTTTGTCAAAGACAAACTCTTGGCTGGAGCCCAACCTTATTTTCCACAACCAATTATCTTTTTAATCAGCCTGGGCCCCGTGTGTTTCCTTTATCTCATGACTTTTCACTGAACTCTGCCCTACGTCATTTAGATTCATTTCTAATGGCTTGCTGACTAATCTAACATTCAGGTGAGGAGCGTTGGGCTGCTCTTTACGTACGTGCATGCACAGGGTGGCTGTGTTTTCCCCCTTTTAATTTCGGAGGTGACTGTACCACGTTGGGGCCTTTGACCCAATAGGTGGACGCCTCACGGAGGCAGCGAGCAAGAAAGCAAATGTAGGACGATCAGTATCTGGGATAATGAGCTGGGAGAACCAGAAGCTTTGACCTCCAGATGAGAGCAGAAACTTGAATGTTGTTGACTGATGGGATCTTGATGCCGCTAAGCCATTAGCAAGATGATCGCTCCCCCCTCTGTAAATCCCGTAATGCTGGAGTGGAAAGTGGCATCTGGAATATTGTTTGGTTCTGATTCCTGCAGCTCTAGGAAAAAAAAGAATTTTAGACTTGAGGGAATTCAGCACAAGCAACAGAAATGATTAAGGAGTTGAAGGGGATCAACTCCAGGGGGGAAATATTATGAAGATAAAATACGCGTAACTCGAGTAAGGAATGTAGCATCAGGACCCGCGGTTTACAGATCTCACAGGAGTTCTGAACACTTGCCAGCTTGTCTTGCACGGTTCCCATTCATCCCAATCGTACAGCTTGGGAAGGTGATAATGTAACCTCCTCAAGGTCACTCAACCTGGCTCTGAGCTCAGAAGCAACAGAAGGCAAAGGAGTAGCTTTGGGGCTTAGGCCCAAGGCCCAAAGAGAAAATGAAAATCCAAGAGTTTGCCTGGCAGTGGAGTGGACACACACCTGCTCATAAGGCTCTGCTGAAATGGGGAGAGTTGTAGCTTTCTCAAGACCCTTTAAGATGAGCTCTTGACAAGCCAAAGAGAAAGAAGGGCACCCCACACAGTTCACCTTCTTTTGATACCTGAGCAAACAGACATCCAGCCAAGGGAGAGGACATGTTCAAGGTCACACGGATTAAACTTGGGCCGGTGATTCAGCAAACAATGGCAGAGCATCCAGAAGGTACCAAACATCATGGTGGGGTAGGGTTGGGGTAGAGGGTGGGATTTCTGCCTTACAAATTCAGTCTAATGGAGGAGGCAGGGGTGTGGCCCTCAGAAACAAAGCAGAGAGGTCATGACATTGAGAACAGAAGAGAAGAAAAGAAATTTTGCAGTAAGGAGGTCAGTGGTTACCTGAGAACAGTTTCTGTCAAATGGTGGAGGCAGAAGCCAAGACTGACGAGAAGGTAAGCAAATACAGGATGAGTAGAAGCTACGCTTTCCAGAAGTTTGGCAGGGAGAGAGAAAAGGAATCTCTCCCGCCCACTCTTAAGGACTTATGCCTCAATTTAGTCAACACGTTTATTTTTGTCTAGCAGTCATGGTGTACAGGTTGTTCCATAAAATTACACTTTAGTAACTGATATTTGTAATAAAATGGATGTAGAATAATTACAGTTTTAAGCTGAAGAAGAAAACAATCACCTTCAGCCCTTAACACAATTTTGAGAATGATTTCCTAAATTTAGACAGACATATGTTTCTGTACTTCTTCAACCTATCCATCTTCCAAGTAAAAGTTTGCCTCACATTTACTAGAGACCTTTAAAATGTTTTAAGGAGCCAGTGGTTTGGCTCAGCATTGAGCTACCTAAAAATAACATTCAGTACCCCAAAATGTACGCCGTGATTGGTAGCTTTGCCAGTTTCCGTGGTGTAAATACTCCCACCGGGCCCAGTTCAGACTTCAAAGGTGACGTCACAGGGGCGCAGAGTCGGAAAGCACGCAGCTCCCCGCTGCCTAACATTTCCGCCATGCTGACCTGGCATACATAGGCAATGGTAG